TCGTCACGTTAGTATTCCGTTGAATTTTCACGTAACGCGTTACTATTCCGGTTTCTAGCCGCCGAGCGTCGTTTCTTTTCACGGGGGTTAAAACCGCTCCTCGTTCTAGGCCTCTCTTCAAACGTTCCTATGCATACGGGGACGATTCTAAAACGCGTCCAGCGAAACGAGGCGTATGCGAGACTAAGAGCTGAAAATAGAGAGAGCTCGGGAATAATTATCTCGCTAGGTTCGACGGAAAATGAACGTTTTCGACGGTAATTAACGCTCGGTCGAGCTGTTCGATGTCGTAACGCACGAACGTGCGTGCTTCTCCTTTCCTACCTCTAGGCTACTCGTTATTCGACGCGTTAAAAATCCTCTCTATAGAGCAATTTACTTATCTCCTCTTCTAGTCTATAACGCGGAGAAATTTACGTTTCTCGTGCTAATTAAGCCGGTAACGTTGCCAGGTGATACGGTATCTCTTGGTGAAGCGTTCTTCTCCCCTCCACCCCTCTCTCTCTTTGGCCGATCTGTATTATACACGCGTTAAGGGAGAAACGGAAGCTGAAATAGAGATGCTGAGGTCGATCGATTCTAATAATTAATTGACGAAATTAAGCGGGTTAAAAGCTGGGGCCGCGGTCGTTATGAGTATATAACCGGTGTTCACCAACCAGCGATCCCATAATGACAGATAAAGGAACAGCATCGGGGTATCCAGTTTCAATTACCGAGTAGCGCTTAATACTTTGCTTACGTGTAATAGAGCCACGGATACCGTGGAAAAGCGTATAAATACGCTTCGGCTAAAGTGATATTGCGGGGCGCAGCGGTTTCGTCAGTTTATTTATTCCCAGGTCAAGGGAACACCATTTCTTAAACACGAAGGTCAAGAAGTCAATGAGATCCGGTTGCTCAGGTATGTAACCGCGCAAGTGCCCGAGTCTCACGGGCGTTTCGTTCGATTTTATTCCCTGTTATTTTCCGTGGAATCCTCAACGCCGCCGCCGCTGGAACGTCGTCGAGTTCTTCGCGTCAACAAACACCTTCGACGAATCTCTTCGTCGCGATATCGGCGACGTGTTCGTCAACCTAAACGTCGATCGTGCGTGCTTGCTTTTTGTTGCTCCATATTGTAGGTACGTATCGCGAGTCGAATCGAAAGATAACCGCATTGTCAAGTTATGTGTTATTGTTTCGCTTTATTGCAAAAGTGCGAGGATAAGCATCGGAAATTCCACGAGAAGTTTTACTTCACGGATGGCGCTTATGCAGATTTCATTTGCACAAAAAAACCTCGATGGAATTCAGGCAACAGGCGAGAAGTGTGAATTAAATTGACACGAGACTGCTATTGTGACATGGATGGCTGAGTAGTAATGTGTAGAGACTAAATTGCCAACAGTGGAGTAGGTTGTTCTTTTTCTTTTTTTTTCTATTGGAGATTGTTTAATAGGACGAGAATAACTTGTGATTTGTTCGGTAACGGAGGAAAAGTTTATACAATTGAACTTGAAATAAAAAGTCCGGAGCTAATGGAAGACTGTGTGCACAATCAACACACTTTTGATATTACGGTCTCCAACATTTGCTTAAAAATACACTGAAAATCTGATAACATTAAAATGAAAACTAAGATGTTCGATGGTGTAAAAATAGTAGTTCAATTTATTCCTGCTTTCCAGGCGAAAAACTTCACTTTATAAATAAACTACGTATTGAAAATATTCTACGATAAATACACTTGTTGAAACGTTTTCGTATGTGAAAAATGAATGAAATATATACTTTATATAAAAGTTCAACGTACAAATTTTCAACCCTTTCACGCCGCTTAATTAGTCCCATTAATCGCATCGACAATTATTATTACCACATCATTTCCTATTTTCACCCATTGTTCCTTTTTGCTCGTTTCACACTCGGCCGACAGCTAAAACGGCACATCCGGCACACGTTTCTCGTAATTCCTCAATTAGCAAAACTTCACGAATTACACACGTGAGGCTTCGTCTACGTTTCCCGTTACATTTCGTTTCTTTAATTCGATCACGCCTTCGCTTTCAGCCGGGCGAAAAACCGCGGTTTTCATCTCGGCAGACTATTCCGCGGTATCTAAAATCTTTATCACGACGGGATTTCGCGCGCAATGAGGCGCGCCCCGTTACACTTTGCGTTTCCGATTATCACGCTCGCATCTCTCCGCTTTATACGCTACGCGCGTACTTCTACCGAGCATAAGCTTATTATTTTATCTACAACAACAGTCTCCGTTTCTCTCCTTCCCTCCTCCGCCTCCTTTCGCCCTGAGATATTCTTCGAGCTCTTGATAAACGCTCGGTTGCCCTCGAGAATATTCAATCGTTTCCCTCGTTAGCCATCGATCCCGATGGAAAAACCACCGTCGAGCTGCACCCCTGTAAATTTCGATCTTCTCGCGATACCAAATAATCTTCTGTACTCGTGTAATAGTTACGCGAGATATTTTATAGTTGGTAGTACGACCGAAGTGGTGATTGTATGTGCGTGAAATATGGATTCTTAGAAGAGCGATTCTGAATGATTGTTTGGTACACCAGCACTTCAGTTTGTACAATCGGGTACGAAATTGAGCAGACACCTGTCTGTTGTAGATAAAAGGTTGTAATTCGGTGATTTACACGTAAATAACGTACACGTAATTTGTGTATCTTTTTGTCAAATGATCAATCAAATTTTATCGGAGCCACGAGTTGCTCGTTTTCGTCATTCTCGAAATTTCAATGCCCGTAGCTTCCTAAGATTTCATAGACACCCCTATCCTTTAATTCGAGCCTATCGTCACAACTACAGAATTCGATTTAAGTTTACATTCCCATTTTTTCCTCTCTTCCGTTATGGACGTTGTACTTACGAATTCTACCGACAACGTTCACAAAGCCACGATGCAAGGTAGTAAATCGCTCTCAAGTGCACGCGTACCCGGTCTACGTAAAAGTTTCTTGCCACGATGAACCTCGTGCAACAAAAACCCACCATTCAACATTTTCGACTTTTCTCATCCCCCCGGCGCATCATCAATCCCACAGAACTCCCCTCAGTCCCCCTTCAATTTACTTATCTCATAGACTCACCACCCTGTCCATGCCATCAGCCACGAGCCACCCCTGGGATCACAGATCTCTCTCTCTATCGCTCTATCTCTCTCCCCTCAACTCGAACGCAATTTCACCGGGATCTCTCTAGGGACTCGTATCCGAAGCGTAGCGCATAATAAAGGACTCTGTTGGCCGTATGTGTCCGTAGCGCCGGACATCGGGTGGGTTCTTGTCCCGGCGACCGGTAACGAGACGCCAGTAGTAACCAGAGAGTCCACCGACGAGCGTAAGCGCGAGCCATCGAAAAGAGACGGAAGAGGCGGCGGCGGCGGCAGCATGCAACGTTGTGTGTAGTATATACGCGCGGGCACGCAAAGTCAAGAAGGCAAAAGAGCCTCGACGGCGCGGCGCGACGCGACGTTGGCACCGAGAGCCGTGGCGTACATGTATCCCGTACTACATATGTACCACCGCCGTTACGTGTACACGTATACGTGAACGGTGTGTGCGTATATATAGAAAACCGTAGCCGGAATCATGGTGTACAGGTTGGCGGGCGAGGTGTGCGACGAGAGCTCGTGAACCATGAGCATGCTGCACGAGGAGGACGGTGGTTGTCGGTTGTCATGGTGGTAGTGAGACGGAGAGTTCGTAGTGGTGGTGGTGGTGGTAGCCGTGATGGCTAGTGGCTGGCGCCGCCGGACGTTCAACAATGGTCGTGTCTCCCGTCTCCCTTCACCGCGCAGGCCACCTCCGATCCACCCCTTCCACCCGCGCCTGGAACC